GCCCCGCACCGTCTGGCCCTGGCCCTGCCCGCTCCTCCCCGTCCTCCCTGCCTGTGCCCCCCGTGCCCGGGATTCTCCGCGGGCTGCGCCCCGCAACTGCCCTCGCTGCGTCCCTCCATCCTCCCTCCGCAGCCTCCGTGCCCCCGGCTTCCCTCCGGTGGTCCTGCCAGCTGCACCGTGGCTCGCCTCCGTCCCCGTGCGTCCCACTGTCCCTCCTCCGCCTGTCCCACTCCATCTCTCGCATCCCTCGCCTCGCCTGGCTGCCCTGCACGTTCATCTGGTTCACTGCGTGCATCTGTCTTGCGAGGCTTGCCTTCGCCCGTCCTCCCTTTCCGCTCGTTTCCCGTTTATTTAGCTTTCATTCGTAGCGTTGGCCTTGTCTCTTCGTCCACTGCGTGCAGCCTCCTACCAAGTGTGTGTCTCTCCTCTCTGCCTGCCAGTCCGGTTACTAACTGTGCCATCCATCCCCACGGTACCGGCCATCTCCCTCCTGTCCGGCCATTGCCGTTACGTGTCACCGAATCCCTTCAGCGCAGCTTTCCAGCAGTTTATCCAGGCAACCACTGTGCCTGTGAACTTTGCACATCTGGCTCTAACACCATCACGCTGCAAATTAGCTCTCTCCTGACTATCTGCCCATCTCTCCTTTCCTTCATCGCGCTATCGCTCAGTTCATTTTTCTCTCTCTCTATCTTCCTGTGGCATCTACATATCATTTGTCCACAAAATAAATCTCTTTCTATCCTGTATACTGCCCACTCATCTCCTTTATCTACCCTCCCACTTACCAAAGGCATATACATTTACAGTATCTATGGGATCTGTTGCATTATACATATGCTTGTTATATTCACATACAAAATTTATGGGCGCACACAATCTCACACAACACAAGCGATGTGGATCGGTGCAGCAACACCGTACTGTTCTTTTCCTGTCACTGTCACCACAGTTTATAAAGAAGTTGTGTATTTACTAACATGCAAAAGGCTTTCTTAGCATACATTTGGGGGTTTGTTATTTTTTTAACAGGCTGTTGTTGGGAGATCTGGGGTGGGCTCGTACTTCCATTTGGTATTCGATCGATCGCTGGCTTTTGTAACACTTCCAAAATCGACTTTATGTAAAGCACAGACAAACACAGTGCAAATTTTTGTCACTGAAATATTACAAGGTTCTGAACGGGCCCCAGAGGCACATTTGGAAAGGCATCTAGGGTGACAAATTAAGACACTGACTACGCAAGAAATCCCATTCAGGGATTGACAAAAATAATAGAGATGCTGAGGAAAAGAAAAGGAAGGAAAAAAAAAAAATCTACATTTGGCTCTGTACAGAAAGAAGCGAAACAGATAAGGGCAGATGAGAAAAATGCCTTTCCAGCAATAATCTTAAACAGCGATCGGGAGGCTTTGATTCAAGGACCAGAATTACAGTCTCCGCCATAAAGGCCAGCTTGCACATTTATCACCTACGCCAAATTTAGTTAGGACTTACAGTACAAAATTGCAGGAGGGCCAATGGTATTTCTGAAACATTTCATGCGGCAGGCTCTTTTGTTTACAAATAAGGGGTTATGTCAGACATTTGGTGACATTTGGTTTTCCGTGACAATTTTGCTCCTTTAATTCTGGCGTTATTGAAAAGCGTATTGAGAACAGTCAGGAACGGCGTTACAGCGAGAGCAACCGCTTCATTGCCTCGCCTTGAATGGCAGTCTGTCGTTTCGGGGGGAAAAGGCAGAGATCGAAACAATTAATAATAGTAGATATTCTACCAGACTAAGTGGGGGGTTAGCTTGATCTGTTGGACAAGCAGGCGCATTACTGAAATATTTTCCCCTCTGTCTCGTGAATCCTCTCTGTTAAACCACGATGAGAACATGTGAAAATCGAAACAAAATCCCTGGTTCGGCATTGGCGTTTCAGTGGTTATTGAAAGGGCTCTCCCCGTGAGAATTGGCAGGTAGCTGAAAGTTAAAACTGTTCTTAAACCGATGAGATAGCGGAGTCCGAGCGCTGGTCTTTTCAAGGTGCTGCTGTAGCATCTTTAAAGCTGGCTGGCTGGGAAAACCCCATATTCTGGAGAGCTCCTACTGGTGTCTCTGGATCTGACACATCCGACTACAGCCCGATGATGATGAACGTTGCTGTGGGAAGTCCCTTTTTTCAATTCGTTTTGATTGCAAATTGGGGATATCTGATTCAGCGCGTGCCTCCCGGCCGGCACAGCCCCATCACCGCTCCCTCGATCTGCGGTGCTCTAGCGTTGTCCCTGAATCCCGAATGGCACACAAGCTAACGTTTCCTTTTTAACTTAATCTTGCTGATCTCTCCTTATCTTGCAGACGATCTGGCCTCATCTAGAGTCCGCCTCTATTTCTTCATCTCGAATGAAGGGAACCAGAACTTGTTTGTCGTTCAAGCCAGCCTGTGGCTTTACTTGAAGCTGCTTCCATATGTCTTAGAGAAAGGCAGCAGGCGAAAAGTAAGAGTCAAAGTCTATTTCCAAGACCCGGACACTAGCAACAAGTGGAATGTGGTTGAAAAGAAAGTTGATCTCAAAAGAAGTGGTTGGCACACTTTTCCCATGACAGAGGCGATCCAGGCTCTGTTTGAGAGAGGAGAAAGGAGACTGAACTTGGATGTTCAATGTGAGGGCTGTGAAGAGTATTCAGTGCTGCCAATTTATGTGGACCCCGGGGAGGAATCCCACCGGCCTTTTTTAGTGGTGCAAGCCCGCCTCGCCGATAACAAACACAGGATCCGGAAAAGAGGCCTGGAGTGCGATGGCAGGACCAATCTATGTTGCAGGCAACAGTTTTACATTGACTTTAGACTCATTGGGTGGAATGACTGGATCATAGCACCATCAGGTTACTATGGGAATTACTGTGAAGGGAGCTGCCCGGCCTACTTGGCCGGCGTCCCGGGGTCGGCTTCCTCCTTTCACACCGCCGTCGTGAATCAGTACCGAATGCGGGGGCTGAACCCGGGCACCGTGAACTCCTGTTGCATTCCAACCAAACTTAGCACAATGTCAATGCTGTACTTTGATGATGAATACAACATTGTGAAAAGGGACGTTCCCAATATGATTGTGGAAGAATGTGGTTGTGCTTGATTTAAGGTGTGTTTTGGGGGGGGGAGAGAGAGAAAGAGGGGGGGAGAGAGAGAGAGAAACATTCCCGTATGAGATGGTGTTGGAGGAAGTTTCACTGTGTATCCAGGCATCAGTGTTGGAAAGTCACTGTGGAAAAGTTTGACAAAAAAAAAAAAAAAAAAAGAAGAAAAAAAAAATCATTTCACTTTGGTGTCAGGACAGTGGCAGTTTGTGGATCTTGGACACTTATATATTCTACCACTTATAAGTTAATGCTCTGAAATATCTTAAAGACACACACACACACACACACGGAACGTGGGCACGCACGCAAACACGCGCTCATACACACACGCACAGACACAGACACACACACACACGAGGCAGCTTGGAAAAGGGACATGAGCACAGAAAGTCAGTGACCAGTGACGATGGACCTAAATGCCTGCCAGTACGAGTGAACGGCTGAGCAGCTGTTTCCCCGCCTGCCGGTGAAGCCAGACCGAAATGAGCTCCCTTTGCTCAGGCAAAAGCACAGACTGCGAGAACACGACGTATTCTTGCACGCAGGTGTCAAAATGACCAAACTTAGAAAATTAAAAAAAAAAAAAAAAGAAAAAAAAAAGAAAAAAAAGTCGACCGTCACCTCTTAGGTCTAACGGGAAGCTGCAGGACACCTGCCTTGCAAGGTGATCACTTCCTCTTAATTTAAATTTACCTAAATGTAAACATCTTCCTACAGCACTTCCAGTAAGGAATCGTGTGATACCACCAGAGAGAGAAAAGGGGACGGACGCGTAAGCAACTACTGTATTTCTAACATCTGACCGTTGCGAAGTCACAAGCTGGGCTGGCGTGATCTGATGCTTTAACTGCCCACTAGCAACCCGTGGATGGCTACACCCGCCACGTCTTGGAAAAGGGGATCCGATACCGTACCTGGACTATGTTGACCCTTGGCGTCTCTCACGGTTTGGAGAACGAAAAGTCAGAGTCGCAGTCGGTGTTCTTCAACGGGGGACTCGGCAACTACACGTCACGTGGGGGATGAGCGAACAAGCAACTGCCGCCACGGCTAAACCAATGAACCCGAAAGAGGAGTGACAGAAACAGAGTGGAGACGTTCTGAAAAATGCAGTGCGTTTAATAACAGGCGAGGAACATTTTAACAAGTCTTGGAAAAGGAGGAGAGTGCTTTCAATTTCCTTACCAGGAGGTGTCGAGGATGGCCATAAAGATCAGAAAATAACGATACAGCATAGCACTTGCAAACTGCTTGAATGCACGTATAATAGCACTTGCAAATTTCAATGCCTTGAAAAGTGGTACTTGATAGTGCACTTATCTTTGCTCACTATCTAGGTAAACAGGTGCCGCATGAGCTATGCAATTTAAAGTGTTGACCCATACTAGACAAAACTGGACTTATGATATGACTTTTTTATATTTTTTTATACTTGAAATTAAATCTTTTGCTTCTTTTTTAAAGCGAATGATTGCTTTTAATGTTTGCACTGATTTAGTTGCATGATTAGTCAAAAAACTGCCATTTGAAAAAAATGTTATTTTTATAGCAGCAAAAAATGAATACAGTTAAATGTATTATACATAAATTTTGGAACCAAAGAGGCCAACATATTAGTTATAATTTTTATGAGATGGCAAAGCCATCATATATCATGTAGTCATACTGAGCAATCCCTCACGAGGCCTACCAATTGTTTCAGGGTACAAAATGGATTCTGTTTGTTCTATTCAGTGTCTTTTCTATACCATACGCACATGGAACGTAGAGTGAAAAAAAAAAAAAAAAAGACTATTGTAGAATACATTACAAGATGTGCATCCTTTAAATCCAATTTTTATGTTTATTTAATAAAGTTCCTTTTAGGTTCTGTTCCATAATAATTTAAACCAAACAATTTTCACTTAGATTTGCTGTTGAAGTATTTTACATTTGTGTACAGTTTAAATAAATAAAAAAGATTAAAAACTGGATGTGCTTTTTTTTTTCAGTGAGTAACATCTGGAGAAACTTGCTTACTTTCAGGACTGAATGCGGCTGCAGACAGTGAACTGTCGCATTAGACCGTAGTTGTATTAGTCATTGCAGAAAGCCTCGTCTGAGAGCTCAGCTGCGATCCTAAAAATGTTACACTCTAGTTTTATTGCTGTCTATACATGTAAGCATCTGCTTCTTTCTATCTGCATCAGTGCAGGGTCTCTGGGTGCGGGAACGGTGCTGTTCCGCATGCTTACAGGTCATTTACAGCAAGTTCCTGGTTCACCTGCTATGTAAGAATGTAACTTCTTGTCTAGGTCACTCCCTGATTGGTTACAAGAAGTAAAAAAATAATGTGGCAAGCACTTCCAGGAAAAAGAGGTCAATGCTAATTTGGGTGAATTTTTTTTTTTTTTTTTTTTTTTAAATTAGCTGGCACCGAGGAGAGGGGGGTTTTTTGAGTAAAATGCATCCCCCCTACTAACAAAACACCCAAATGTTGACAAATACTCATAGAAATTCTCATCAGCTGTGCATGTATCCAGATACTGATTTCATTGATCTTCACAGATAAATTCTTCCTCCTGGAGACCTGAGCAAATGCCAGCTGAAGCTGACAGAAAGATATCTGTTGATTTAGCAAACGTTAGATCTGACCCTGAGACCTGGAAAGTGTTGAAGAAGCAAGTTCATGCAACTAATGATGGGTTCTAGTTACAATTCACATTCAAGCGTAGCTCTGCCCACCCCTCCCCAAAGCCAGACGCTTGGGTTAAACGGCTTTGTTTCGGGAGACCTCTTGGAGCAATTTGCTGTGGCTGTGTCAACAACCTGCTGCACAGAACTTTGTCCCCCAGACCAAATTTTTTGAATATTTCGTAGCTTTCTCACCACCTCGAACTGCACGTTTATTGTCAAAGCCACCGTTCGCTCTTCCTGCTCCATCTCTTAGCAGCCGCCTTCTCCCCGTCTTTGTTTCCTGGGTCGACCGTGCTACTGATGAGTTCTATAAATTCCCCTCGAAATCAGTGGCAAATACACGTCCCTGCAGCCTGAAGGCACATTTGACCTAATATGACACCGTCATTACGAATAAGACTAGGCTGCGCTTTTAAAAATGGCATATATTAAGAAATCTTGCCCATTGAAATGCAAGGCCCTGGAGGCTGGGTCCGGTTAGGTTTCGTTCTTAATTGAAAGTGTTTGGTTTCTGGGGTCGAAGCCAAGCCCTGCATGGGACACTGGGACTCCTGTGCTCTCCCAGGAGGAGAGCAGGGTGTCTTGGCGCGGGATTTGGACCTGCAGCCCTGGGGAGCAGGGAGCTGCTGGCAGCCGGGATGCCATGAGCTTGGGCTGGCCAGGAGCAAGGGGCAGGAACGGGCTGTGCTCTGCATCTCACCGCAAACCCGCAGGCAAGCCCGGGGTCCTGAACTCCTTCACAGAGGCCGGCAAAGAACACCCCTTTTCTTGGTAAAAAGCTTTCTTCCCCTGCCTTCCCTGCTCCCTCGTTTGCAGCTACGGCCCTGACGTTCGTGGGGCAGAAATAGAAACGCAAAGGAGAGCATCAATCAGTATGGTGTGAGGGGCATCATCCAGGAGTGGGGAGAGCTGGATCATAGTCCAGGTTCCCAGGTCCTTTTACTTTGTGTGAAACGGTCGCTGGAAATCGAACCGAACAGAACATGCTTTGAGTTTTCTGCAGCGTGGAGTCACTCACTGCTCTGGGCATGCTGCAGATAGTGAGGTATTCCCGAGCCCTGGTGCCGACAGCAACCTGCCACAGGGATTTCCAAGGCTAAAATGAAATAAAATTTAAAAGGTCTTTAATTTTGTGGGACCAATCTGAGACAGTTTGGGCTTGATTTTTTCAGAGATGTGACAAGGCTACTGCTCTTGCCAGCTTTTTGCAAGGGACTGCAGGAATCCCACTTTTTGCAGCGTCCACCTCCTGCATTTTTTAAATCGGACAAAATGAAAAATGAGATGCCCAAGCTTGATGGCTGCCTTCTGAAAATTTTTGGATTTATTTTCCCATCTGTCATTCCGATCCTTACAAAACTGAGCATCCAGTTTCATTGCCTTATGGCAGGTCAGGTACTGTACCTAAAAAAACAGCTGGGTCGGGTCCATACCCCCCCACCCCAAGACAACTAGGCGTCTCTTGTCTCTGATAGGCTTTGAATTCGGTCCTATAGATGCTAAATCATTGCCTTCTATCATGTGGCAGAATCAATCTCTGCAGCTGGAAAGTCTTCATCCTTTAAAATGTTCTAACACAGGCAAAACCCCGGTCCAGTGCCTGGGCATCCCACCGGCGTTAATGAGGACGGTGTGAATAGGGTGACTGTCACGATGTGGTGCAACAGAGCACTTGGTGGGTTCACTCTGCACACATCACCTATTTCCACACATAATAGACACCTGCTCCAAAATTGCCAGCTCTCACCTTCTTTGCTTCGTTACTTGTGAGAGCTGAAGTCAGCAACTGAAATTAATTGCTGCACTCCCCCTGCCATGGGAGGGGAAGGAAACCCCCCACTGAATGAATCCTTCTTAAGAATATTTTTTGTTTGGAGTGGTTTCTAGCGTGAAGGGTTGAAGAACATTTTGCAAAATGGATCAGAAATACAAATTTTTGTCTAAGAGGAGAATCTGTTTCTGTTAATACCAGTGTCAGTCTGCAGTAGCTCCCCTGAAGTCTGCAGATGTAATTCAGGCTGGCACCAATATAATTAAAGACACACCTGAAATCTGGTTTTCTTGAAATCCTGATTGGGCCCAGCTCATTCTCAGTAGTTCTAACAATTTTTTTTTTTTCCTTTAGAATCAGCAGCTAAAACATTTAGCAAAACCTACAGATGCTGCATGACAGATCAGAACAAGAGAAGACACCTAAGCTGGTCATGAACATAGGGAGAATCTCCCTTATATGCTGGAATTTGGCCAGGAATTAGAGATATCCATTGGTACAAAAGACCCCAGTAGCTTTCATTTGCTCACCCAGTCAGTACCCTTAAACCAAAAGCTGGATTTACCTGGCTGCTTGTAATGGTAGGGACCAATTTTATTTGGGTAACTTCATTGATTTCAGGGGAATTGTTTCTGATTTGTACAAGAATAAGTGGGAGCAGATTTAGGTTCTTTAATGTTCTTCCAGTTT